TGTTCAATCACTTGAACTAAATATTCTCGATGTCTATTATATTTTTATATTTACACAAATTTTTTTTATTCATAAACATTGTTTACACGGTGTTACAAAACTGATAATTAGAGACGGGTTTACATGAATTATAAAGTTTACACTTATTATGTGATTTTACTCTTTTCTATATTTTTATTTCGTAAAAATGTCAAAGTTATTATATTAAATTTTTGAAGTTTTTTTTTATTTTTTATTTTTTATTTTTATTTTTATTTTTATAGTATGTATAATACACTTTCTATCTCATAATAATAAGTATCGTGTTTAAAAAAAAAAATCTCAAAATAAGTGTTATATTAAATTTTCAATTTAGTATTAATTATTATTTTTTAATTAAACCCTTCATACTATTCTTTAGAAAATGAATATTGTATTGTTCAGGAAAAAATTAATTACAATTTTTTTAATTCTTATCCTATGTAAAACAACCTAATGTCATACTTATTATGAGATGGAGAGAGTTAATTATAGTTAATTTAAGTCAATAAAAAAAATTAGGAGTGATGATCGACAAAGATCATATTTATTACGAGATGGAGGGAGTACTAATTAGGTAATTATAGTTAATTTAAGTAAATAAAGAGATTTAGAAGTGATGACCAATCCAAACTCATATTATACTATTTTTTTTTTAAAAAAATGTCAAAATTTTGATTTGGATATAAATGTTTAAATGCTTATTTAGCTACTAACATAAAAAAAGGTGATTTTTGAAAGTGCTGAAAATAAAATGAGAAAATCATTATTATTAAAAAATAAAATCTCACAAAGTAATTTGATGTATATCTATCTATATTCCAAAAAATTGTGAAGTTATATGATTAATATTAGAAATTTATAAATAAGTATTAAGGGTGTTCGAAACTGAACCAATCTAAACTAAAATTTGCAAATCGATTCAAAAAATTGAAAAATGATAAAAAAATCACAAAATTTGTGATTTGTTCGATTTTAAAATTTAAAATCGCACTTTTTGGTTCAATTTTCGGATTGGAATATAAAATTGATAGATATTGAATCAAATCGTACTTATTTGTAAATATATATTTTTTCAAATGCATAGTATATGTATACAAAATTGATATATAACATAAAAAAATGTTTTATAAAATTATAAATTACTAAATTAAATTTTAGAATAAAAATATTAAATTATTTATAACATTTGTATTTTATAAAATTGTAAATTATTAAATTGAATGTTAGAATAAAAAATATTGAATTATTTATAACATTCAAAAAAAATATTAAGTGACAATAAATAAATAAATAAATATATATATATATATGTGTGTTATGATAAAAAAATATTTAATATAATAATATTAGAAAATAATTTTTCTAAAATAATATGATAAAAATTATTTTTAAGTATATTAAATGACTAAAATATTTTAATATTTATATATTTTTAATTTTATTTTTAACGTACAATCTTAAATAATTAATATAATATTATTATTTTTTAAGTGACAAAATTTAAAAAACATAAAACTTAACCAAATCAAACTATAAAATATTAATTTAATTTAATTTAATTTTTATAATTCATTCAAATTAAATTAAATCAAATCACATTTAATTTTCTTATTTAATTTAAATAACTTTTAAGATGAAAACCATATCAAACCATACACGAATATCTCTAATATGTATCATCTCCACTATTAAATTTTTTTAAATCTATCATTACTGAGTGCCAAAAACTTATATGCATTGGCGTGACACAGACACAAAATTATATTATTAAACTAGAGTATGTGCGTTGATAGAATATTATTTCCTCATTCTAATACTATTGCATATATGTAATTGACCACATACATAAGATAAATTTAACACAATTATTTATAATATAGTAGAAACAACTTGCCGTATTTTTATTATATTTTTTTACGTTTAAATAATATTTTTATTCTTTATTTTATTTGTTATATTTTTTTTATCTTTTAAATTTAGACTAATTTAATTTTTTTAAATAATGATTTTTTTTTATTTTAAAATATATTTTAGATATTTTTTTTTATTAATTTAAGACTTAAAATTCATTTCATTAGATTCACTTATATAAAAACTTTTAATTATAACAAATTTAAATAAAAATATTATAGACATGATAAAAATTGTATAAATATAACTCTAGAATATAATTAAAATTTTAAAAATTATAAATTTATATTATTTTTTATTTGTTTATGAGACATATTTTCATATAACTTTTATTATATTTATAACTTTTGTAGATTTAAATGTTAATTAAATATTATAATTTTTTTATATAGTTGAATTTATTATTAAAATTTAACCTTTTGAATCAGTTAAAAATTATTCAAAATTATATCATAAAACTAAAAATTATTATTATTTTAAAATAATCATATTATTCCTAACATAAAGATTGAAGAATTAAAATAAATATTTTAAAATATAAAAAATCAAAATAAATCTCACAACTATGATAAAAGATAAAAAAAATAAATATAATTTAACCTTTCTCTTTACATCTATTTTTATATCCTGTTCATATCTTATTTGCCAAAACACAAAATAAAATAAAATAAAGTACAAATTACTGCAATTTACTTCTGTTGGTCTTGGGGATTAAATGGCAATAAATTACATGGTAAATGCCTTTATCTCAATATTAAATGAATTTTAAAACCATTAATTAAAAATTAATTAATATATTCTGACGATGTAATTTTTTTACACTTTCATCTAATCATACATTATGACTATGATAAGTTAATTAATTTTAATTATCGTCACTTTAAAATTATATCTAAAATTATTTTTAATTATTTAACAGTCTAAAAATTGTTCTACTAACAAATTTATTAAAATTATTCTCTTATTTATTTACCAAGTACCAACTGGACGAAAAAGAAGGAAAAAGCCTAGTGCACGTCGTTCAGAATGTAATTTTTTTGGGCTTAAGTATGGTTTTAATCGTGGTAAGTTTTTTCAGTATTAGATTCTTGAATTTTTTTTAGTTTTTTTTTTTGGTGTTGATTCTTGATTTTTTTTTTAGTTTTTATAGTTAAAAGTACGATAAAAACAATTAATAAATTGTAATATACTTTTTACAGAAAATTATAATATTTTTAAAAAATACAATATTAAAAGAAGATTAATAAACTGAAGATTAAGAACAATATTAAAGGGACAAAAACAATAGTTCATTATGTATTAAAAAATTATGTAAAAAGTTATATTAAAATAAAAATATATAAAAACAAATAATAGGTTATTACCTTATTTATATAAAAAAGTATTACTTAATAAAATTAAGTACCTAAAAATAATATAGTTATCTTAATTTAACATATTATTTAGTATCTTAATTATCTTACTTGATAATTTTATTCTATCGATTGTTATAACTAAAATAACTAGAGTTTTTAAAAGAAAAAAAAATAACTAGAATTAATGGAGTAAAAAATAAATTTAAAAAAATAACAAGATCTAAAAATGATAAAAAAAATGTATAAGAATTAAAATAAGACAAAATTATATTTAAAGAAATTTATTTATGATATATTGGTACAAAGTATTCGTGGCTGAAAATTATGATTAATTTTTATTAAAGATTATGAGTGCACATTCTCTTTTTAAGATAGTTAATTTCATACCTAAATCAAACTTTAAACATCTTAATTATGGAATAGAAACCATTACCATTTATGTGAGCTATTACTGATATCTTAAAATATATTTAATAACATGCAATGCAATTTTATCTGTACCATGAAAAGTATAAGAAAATTTATTTTGATAATATCGTTAAATGTAACTAAAACAAAAAATAAGACATACACAATTATTTTATATTATCATTTAATCACAAAGTAATATATATGATAAATTAATCATACTTTAATAATAAATATTTTAAAAAAGTTTAATTACCTTTAGTTCCATCAATTTTACCCTCTAATTCTTATATATAGAAACATTCTATTTTAATTCCTATACATACTATTTTAGTTCTCTTTTAATTTGTCTACTTTTTTTTTTTTATTATATAGAAACTAAAAAGTTAAGTTTACAAAATTATAAAAATTAAAATTTCTATAATTTTACTTACTTGACCCTTTAATTTTACAACTTAAAATAGATATTTTTTAATTTTTATATTTTTCTTTCTCTCTATAGTTTAATATACATTTTTTTAGTCTACCTACTTACACTTTTTAAGTTTTTTTAGTCTCCGTCATTAATTTTGTTTGTAACATTGTCTTTATGTTGAGGTGACGATGAATTGGTGTTTGATGTTAAATTTATTTTACTAAAATTCTTTTGAATTAAGTCTTTCAACTCTGTACCTCTTGTTACGATGTCTATTATTGAGACACCCTTTTAACTTTTGACAAAATTAAAGACTCCTACACATCAATACAAAACAAATAATATTACAAAAAATAATGACAATGACTAAATAAATTAAAAAAATGCAAATAAATGGACTAAAAAGTCTATATTTAACTATAAAAACTAAAAATGATTGAAAAAATAAGTATAAAAGTTAGAAATATCTATTTTAAACTATAGAAACTAAAAAAGAATTGTAACATAAAAAAATAAAAAAAAAAGTATATACAAAACTTAAAATAGGATATTTTTAATTATAGAACCTAAAATGGTAAAATTGATCAAACGAGGTAATTTAACTTTTTAAAAATTATAATAAAATAAAAAATTATACCAAAAATAAAGTTGGAATTTTTGGATGGTATAAAGGTTTATAGTACTTTATTCACTCACAAAGATGTATATGGGAGACAATTTTTTTTCCTAATATTGGTCGTTCCAATCCAAAGCGCGAAAAAGCTAGCGTTAACGCGCGAAGCACCTACCACAACGTGTGTATTCAGTACCGTGTTTGTGTTTATGTTTGTTTAGTTTCACATTACATTACTTATGATTGAATCCATATTAATATCCAATTATCACTACATTATCACTGTCTCTTATTTTATGCCATTTTAGTGGCGTTATTTCCTCCCTCTTGTAATTCATTATTCCCTCTAATCTCTTTTTTTTCTCTGTTTATCTCTCAAATCTCTTGCACATCACGAGTGTGTTACAACATAATACAAGGTAACGTTTTTTATTTTTATTTTTTTTCATGTTCTTTCTTTTTCATCAACATTATGTGCCTGCCCCCATTCACTATTTTTTTAACGTGTATGAATCTAGGTTGCTTTCCCTTTCATTTTCGATTTTTGCATTTGCAATTATCATTTGTTAAGATTTTATCGATGAATAGCTAAGTATTTTGTAAGTCTTACATGATGTATTTTTGTTCCTCACTTAGATTGTGCTCTATAGTTCATAGTCCATAGGGAAATATCAATCGATTAATTTACGGATTTTGATCGATGATATTTGAGCACTCTAATTTTTTAAACGCTTAATCAACACTCTTTAATCTATTGTTATTGTTACTTTTTCAATTGTAGTTTGGAATTTGTGAATCGACATTTGGAGTTTTGCAAGAGAAAGTAGATATAATAGGTGATAATATACGATAAAAAAAATGAAAATTGGGTATTTAAAAAACTGGAATTTTCAATTTTCATTGCCCTTTACATATTATTCTGTTGAATCGATTACGCTTATCTAATTGTGACCTAATAATCCAATGTATCATACATTTCCTAACATAATTGACGTTTTCTTTTCGTGTGTTCCTCTTTTAAATATTAAAAATAAAAGACATAGTTGACATGCTATACCACCAATGACTGCGCTTGATCGGTATAATCTGTAACTCTTGTTTATATTTTGGGGTACTATAATATGTTTTGTGATTTTTTTTTTGTTTGTGTAAGTTTGATACTATGATATCTGGTTTTCATACCCTATAAAATGTATATAAACATGTTCCTCGTAAGTGAGTTTGTGTGTTTAAGCGAGAGTTTGCAAAATTTATTTTCGATAAAATTGATTTTGAAGAGAAAGTAATTTATGTTTAGATGTTTTTGTTCTAAAAACAACTATTAGTAAAAGCCAATATATATTTTTTTGATTCAATATTATTAAAAATTGTTTCAACTCAAATTCAATTTTATGATCACAGTAGAATCAAATATGTAAATTTTTATCTAAAATCTTGTTAGTTGGTATTCTGACAATGTGAATTTAGACGATGAAATATGAGTTCAAACAAGCACTAATTATACTGTTGGAGATCTGTGCTGTTTTGAATTTTGAGAGCGATATCTTCATTTTTGTTTCTGTTCTTTTCTATTGTCCTTTTTCTCTCGAACAAATTGTCAATTATCCCTATTTTTCTTTGGTTAAACCAATGTAACAGTGTGTCATTGATTTCTAGTGAGGATAGCTACCGGAATGAGTTTGACAGGAATTATGGCTGGCTGCTACATGGCACATGAACATACAATGACAGGTCACTTTTGTAATTCATTAGACTGCAACAGGAAACGGCATTCACTGTTTGTTGAAGACAAAATTTGTACTGTTGATACATTTCATCTCTATGCTAACGTGTTGTTAGTTTTTTGGTTGTTCTTGGTGGCAAGCTCTTACTTTCTCTTGAGCAAAAATGTCAATGCTTTTGGCGGTTGCAGAGAAAAACGTGAGAAAGTTCATTCATCTGACCGAACTATCTCTAATACAAGCACAGAGAATGATGCAACTGTTGCAAATGATGCGTTTAGCTGTAACGAGAGTTTAAGGTGTTCTCATAGAGGTTCATCCAATAACAGCTGGACCAAGTGTGATGCTTACTTTGAGATTTTATATTTAGACAAACAAAGTTACTTGCATTCTTTACTCAATCTTGATGAAGACTCTGAGTGGCTCTCAGATTTCAAGCCTTATGGGCGTTCACGTGAGAACCCTTCTACTCCTTTTAGCTACGAGTGTGATGCTTACCGTGAGATTTCAGATTTTGATAAAGTATGTAACTTGCATTCTTTACTTAGTCTTGAAAATGAAGACTCTGAGTGGTTCTCAGATACGAAGTCTTGTGGATGTTCTTCAGAGAGCCCTTCAACTCCTCTCAGCTACAAATGTGATTCTTATTGTGAGATTTTAGATTTGGACCAAGCAAGTTACTTGCATTCTTTACTGAATCTTGAAGATGAAGACTCTGAGTGGCTCTCAGATTCGAAGCCTTGTGGATGTTCACCTGAGAATCCTTCAACTCCTCTTAGCTCCAAGTGTGATGCTTCTTCTGAGATTTCAGCTTTTGACAAAGCAAGTTACATGCATTCTTTACTCAGTCTTGAAGATGAAGACTCTGAGTGGCTCTCAGATTCAAAGTCTTTTGGATGTTCGTTTGAGAATCCTTCAACTCCTCTTAGCTACAAGTTTGATGCTTTTTCTGAGATTTCAGATGCGGACAAATTAGGTTACATTCATTCTTTACTCAATCTTGAAGATGAAGACTCTGAATGGCTCTCAGATTCGAAACCTTTTGGATGTTCACTTGAGAACCCTTCAACTCCTCCTAGCTACAAATTTGATGCTTTTTCTGAGATTTCAGATTTAGATAATGTAAGTTACATGCATTCTTTACTCAATCTTGAAGATGAAGACTCTGAGTGGCTCTCAGATGCAAAGTCTTTTGGATGCTCATCAAAGAACCCTTCAACTCCTCTTAACTGCAAGTTTGATGCTTCTTCAGAGATTTCAGATTTAGACAAAGTAAGTTTCATGCATTTACTCAACCTTGAAGATGATGACTCTGAGTGGCTTTCAGATGCAAAGTCTTTTGGATGCTCATCAGAGAACCCTTCAACTCCTCTTAGCTACAAGTGTGATGCTTCATCTGAGATTTCACCTTTTGATCAAGAAAGTTACGTGCATTCTTTACTAAGTCTTGAAGATGAAGACTCCAAGTGGCTCTCAGATTCAAAGTCTTTTGGAAGCTCATCTGAGAATCTTTCAACTCCTCTTAGCTACAAGTATGATGCTTCTTCTGAGATCTCAGATTTGGACAAAGTAAGTTTCATGCATTTACTCAATCTTGAAGATGAAGACTCTGAACGTCTCTCAGATTCTACCAGTTTGAGTATTGTGGTTCCTCCTTCAATCTCTACAAGCTCCTCATTCTCTGGAGCACACTATGGCAACTCGGAATTGGAGCATCTATTAGAAGCTGCAGATATGGAAGTGTTCAGTGCTGATGAACCACTTTTTTGGCCATTTGAAGGGAAACACAAATGGAATTCTGAGGAGCCATGGAGTTCATTTTGTACCTCCCCTCGGAAAAGGTTTCTATCCAACTCTAGATCAATGACATCAAGGTTAAACACGTGTCCTAAAAGTTCAGCCAAGGTAGTACCTCTAGAGTGTGAAGATGAAAAAGTTACACTGAAAAGTGGAGTGCTGAGCAATACGGACCTTTTGGGAAAGGAGTATTTTGCTTTGGGTCAGGAACTTCCCATTGAGACATTGGTGGGGCTCAAGGAATTTGATGGACATGAAGGGCTTGATTTTGAATACAATGATGTTTTTCTTCTGGATGAATATCTCCAATAATTTAAGCACACTAGCTTCGTAACCTAGTGAAGACTGAAGAGCAAGTATGACTGCAACTTATTAGATTATATCAGTATAGACAATAGAGTACACTTAGGTTCTCTTTAACTGCCTTTATATGATCTAATGCTTACTACATGTCTTAATTAAATATGTACTTCCCTAATTGAATAACATATGTAATTAGGCATAGTTGTACAAATAGGTCACTGGCTTAAAACAGTGTACATGGTGTTCCAGCAGAAATAGTTTGGTTACTGGCTAAACCTTTGGTTTGTGCTCATGTATTTTAACTGTTTCTTCGTTTTGTTTGTTTGATATCTATCACAGTTGTTTAGTTGTTGTTAACTTCTATAGAACAGTCTGTCAATTAAGTGATTGGTAATTGTTCTATTATGATCTTTGCAATTAATAGTAATACATTTTGCAGCATTTTTTTTTTAATAATTATGTTATTGGTATTTTTTTTTGGGTAACATTTGAGAAGTAGAAAAGGAATGAAAAAAAAAAGGAGAGAAATGAGGGAGGTGGACCATGTGGTGGTTGAAAATGGAAATGAACGTTCCTTCGCCTCCCCACGAGCATGTTTCAATCTTTCGGGTCAACTCATTATCAAAATGTCATGTGCCCAAAAACAAATAAAAAAGAAACTTCCAATAATTGAATGAATTCAACTCACTAAATGTAAACACAAGAATAAGAACTCGACAAAAACTTTTTTTTTTTTTATAAAAAAATTATGAGGGAAAAGAAGATATTACATTTTTGTCCTTCAATATGAATTTTATGTAATTTTTGTTTTTTCTAAATCAAAAATAATTTTCATCTATCTAAAATATTCAAATTCTTACTTTTTACGGATAGATTACATTGATATTCATTAGTTTCTTTCAAAATTCACATATTACTTTGACTTTTTTCTAACTTTACGATAACCTCTTATAAGAGTATATGGTGTAATATGTTTCTTGAGTAATTGAAGATGTGAATAATATATTTCAAATAATTAAAAGAGTTATTGTAAGAAGAAAAAAAAACCTCTTATAAAAGGGTTATTGAAATTGAAAAAAAAATGATTCCTGAATTCTGAGTAATTAAAAATGTGAATAATATATTTCAAATAATTAAGAGAGTTATTGTTTGGAAAAAAAAAAAGAGATATTTGATAAATTTTGAAGAAATCATAAGATGTGTCGGTATATTTTTTCTCTTTTTATTCAAAATTTTCACATACCGAATCAATTAAATTATTTTGAATTTTGATCCATCGCAAATTTTTTTTTTTCTACCCATCGTAATCTTCTAAACATTTGGATAAAAATATTTTGACTTTGGACTATTTAAAGATCATGTTTAAATTTAAAAAAAGGTTTTGAAAGAAAGAAAAAAGTAAAGTTTCTGGTATTATATTTTAAAAGAAATATTCTTTTTAGTACAATACGAATTTGAGAAAATGGTATTCACAGTATTTTTTTTATAGTAAATAACTATTTAAGCTTTCAGTCAAGTAAAATATACTTTGAATAAAAATTGAATTCGATATAGGTGGTCTATCATGATTTTGTAAAAAATAATTTGTTTTAACTTAATTATGTTTTGATCATTCAAGAATTACAATAGTAAGATTTTACTTACAAGATTTTAATTAAATAATTTTATTATTCACATAATTTATCGTATAAAATTATGAATATTGTTTTGACGGTCTAGAATTGCATTGTTCTAAAAAGATAGATAATCCATAGGCGCGTATGATCCATGCATTTGGTGGTTTGTCCATTTGTGCAATAATAAAATATAGTGGCATAAACTATTGAGCCCTTATTAGCCGTACCCTATTCCAGAACACCAGATAACTAACTTTATATTTATAATCACATTTATGATGGGGTTAGTGTACCTAAAGATCCCTATACAGATCTTACCAAAATTGAAAATTGGGTATAGAAAGAGGAAGAGGAAGTAGATATGAGTAATATTTTGATGTCTTAATCAGGGGTTTTATTTTTTTGAAAAACTTAAATTGTATCAAATCGAACTATTTTATAAAAATAAATTAATTAATTGATTCATTTCTTATAAAATAGCTTGATTTGATTTTTTTAAAATATAAATTAATTTTTTTAAAATTGGATTAATTTAGTGTGTATAATTATTTATTTTTCATTTGTATATAAATTAATTTTTTTTAAAAAAATTAAACTAAATTAAACTGATTTATTTTATAAAAATAGATTGAATAATTAAATTAATTTTAAAAATAGTTTAATTTAAATTTTTTTAAAATAAATTAAATTTTTTAATACGGATTTATAGATCGATCGAGATTAATTTAAAGGGCGCATCGAAAGTTGTCCGTTTTGATTGGGGTCTTAGGAAAGGAAAAAGAAGAAAAGGGGAAAAAAGGTGGAATCTAGAGACAAGCGTGTGATCTTGAAGAGACCCCACCCCGGGGAGGGCATTTTGGGCATTGCGCCTGTTGCAGGCCTCTGACGTCGAACCTTCTCTGCTTTCAACTTTTTCCTCTCTCATTTCTCACCAAATCCAACTCTAACTCCTCAATTCCTTTCTCTTACTATTCATTCCTCTTTCAATTTCAATCGGAATCTTCTCTCAGGTAACATCGTTTCTTTTAATCATTACTTTCAATTTCTTCCTCGCTTCCTTGTGGATTCGGATGTTTCTGATTTTGTATGTATTAATTTTAGTTTATTTATTTTATCAGTTATTATCGCAGGGGATTGTTGCTAAATATCAGCTACAATGCGTGCACCGGCATTACTTGCACAGTGCTTACCTGGCCTAGTGCCTCATGATCGTGGAACTCTCAGCATATCCTCGCTTCCTGACAAAGATATTCATCTTCCATCGCCAGCAGTGGAGATTCTCCCTTCCAAGGTACAATTCATCACTCAAATCCCCCCAAAAAGGTTGTGGTTAAAAAGTGTAACGCAGATTTAAATTTGTCGTGTTTCACAGGCAGCTCACGCTGACAGGGATGCTGGGGAGAATATAGAGCAATTTAAGGTATATCTCAGTGTGCTTTATGTTGTGGTATTTGTTTTCTGAAGGATGACATGAAGCCTGTTTGGATGACTTAAAAACACTTCTGCGAGCTTCTCTATTATAAATAAAGAGTTTGTTTTAGTACAAAGACTAGTATTAAAACACAGTCTTATTCTGATGGCTTGTCTCCTAAATCGTGCAATTCCTTACGGGAGAGTAGTGTTATTGTTGAAACAATGATAGTGGAAGAATTTTGGGTTGGTATTTTTTTTTTTTTTTTTGGTTGTAACTTGTAAATATCAATACAATGGGATGTAGGTTTTATCTCTTGACATTGATGTATGATTGTATGAAAGGCATTCATTTCATAAATATTATGATGCAATAACAAAATATGCCTGCTAAATCATACTGAAGTAAGACCTCAAGGCTACATTTCTGTGATTCTTGATGTTTTTTATTTTTAATATGAACTTAATGTTTTTCCATTTTATTGAACACTGTCTCATTTAATCTTTTTGAGAATTTTCTCATAAATCTTATCTTCAATAAACTTGACATAATGTTAGAGTTAGAGCTTATGTTTGTATATCTGTCAGTTTTATAGTTGTGCTGATCTCTCTTAAAACTCTGACAGGGTTTAGTTAGTGTTGCTGATATCATTGGATTCAATGGTTCAGAGGCAATATCCTTGAAATCTGACGGTATGTGCTTGATTTTTCAGATTTGTAGGCATTGGACATGTGATTGATGTTTTCTTGAAAATCAGCACTTTCTTTTAAGTTTAGTACTCCATAAAATTAACACAGTTAAGAAATTAATTCGGCATATAACGTTATTTTGTTATAACACTTGAAACAAAAACTTATTTGGCATGAAATGAAAATGACAAATCCCTAAGCTTAGCGTAGTATTATCTTCAAAGATTTTAAAAACCCTCAAATCCATTATTAGTCAGAAAAATAATGACATGATTCTTGTTGAGGAAAATGTCATTCATCATGCTTTGCTTTACACATGTAATTTAAATTCTCTTCAATACAAAGGACTGATGTTTTCAAATTTACTCATCTGACTTTGTAGGTTATCTGAAATCCTGGACTATTTCCATTGATCTTGTTAGTGTTCTTAAGCATGAGATTCGTGATGGGCAACTGACCTTTAGAGGAAAAAGAGTACTTGAGGTATGCTGTCCTTGAAGATTTTATTGCTTGCTACGATAACTTGACTGTATTAAATTCTATTTGTGCTGTGTTGTCCTTCCCTCATTTTTCAAATGCTCACAATGTCAGCTATATCTTCACAAGATTACTTTCTTTTCTTCTCCCTTAATCTGTATTTAATCAATCATGTCTGTGCTATTTATTACTCAGGATTTACAAATCTCTTTACTTTTGTCTATTTTGCAGCTCGGTTGCAACTATGGGCTTCCTGGGATTTTCGCATGCTTGAAGGTATACAGAACAGTTTAGGATTGGGGTATCATTTTTTTTTTGCTGGTTCATTTGTCACTAGTCTGTGTAAGCTGGAAAGAATATCTATATTTAGTTACATGTTTTTCCCTTGCAAAGAAAACTCTACTCAGCAAGCTATTTTACAATTGATGACATGGGCAGAAATTTAAATTGTCTAGGCAGTTGTTTGTTGTTATTTGCATGCTTGAATTACTATATCTTCCTGGTGTGACAACCAGAAAGTCTCAAAAATATTTTTGGGTAATATTGCAAACAGGTAATCAAGTAAATAGCAAGATGAGAAACTTTTGGTGTTTTTAGGAGAATAATGAGCAGCGTGTAAACTTTTAATCTGCACATTCGAAGAAATAAACTCACCTCTTTGGAAATAACATGCTTTTCCTCTACTTGATTCGGTGTTTCACAGGGAGCTTCCGTGGTGCATTTTCAAGATCAGAATGCAGAAACTGTAAGATGCACAACTATACCAAATGTCCTTGCTAATCTCAAGCAAGCTCGTGATAGGCAGAGTCGACAGCCAGAGTCTCCTCTTACTCCTTCAAGACAGACCCTGGCACCATCAGTTAACTTTTATGCTGGGGACTGGGAAGAATTGCCTTCTGTGTTGTCTATTGTGAAAAGTGATGGATATGAAGCGACTCACGGAATGAGTTTGAGCTTCTCTGAGGAAGATTTTATGGATGGATGTAGTAGCCAAGATGGTAGCATCATTGGACACGAATCTTACTCAAGACGGTCTAGGAAGCTTTCAGGAAGTCGGGCATGGGAAAGAGGTAGTGAGGTGGATCAAGGAGAGGGCGGCTATGATATTATTCTAATGACAGAGATTCCATACTCCGTTACCTCTTTGAAGAAGCTGTATGCACTTATTAAGAAGGTTTGTTTTCCTATACTTGGTTGTTTATACCAACTGAAAAATCTTGTATATGCTTTCCTTATTTTGTTGTGTCTTCCACATTCCATTTGTTCATTTATTGATAGCCGACTTGGTGAAATTGTATTTGTGTCTTGTGGACTATGGTGCTTCCACTTGTTGCTGTGCTCTCAGACTCAACAAATTGGAACCGTTTCTAGTTGCATTTTTATAATGATGCATGATCAAGTTCGATGCATATTGTAACTATTGCACTGACCTGATGATTGCACAAGTTTCTCCTTTTTTTAGCTGAACTATTGAGTTTCAAATTGTAAACGCAGAACTTCTAATTGCTCTTTTGTATTTTTCTTTTGATATCAGTGCTTGAGGCCTCCATATGGGGTGGTATATCTAGCTCCTACGAAGAGGCACTATGTTGGCTTCAATAATGGATTACGACAACTGAGAAGTATGGTAGATGAGGAGGGCATTTTTGGAGCACATTTAGTAAAGGATTTGGCTGACAGGGATATCTGGAAGTTCTTTCACAAGTAAACAGGAATTCAAAAATCAGATGGATACCTTGGCAAACATCCGATAAAAAATTCTATTGACACCATACATATATTTTATAGTCTGAATCACAAGCATTCTTTTGTTTTTTAAATCTATATTTCTCCATTTTTCTTGTAGCTTAGTAATAATAGAGGTCTGAATTTGAATGATCAGTTTACGTGCATCATCAACGTGAAGCTGCCTCAATTTAATTGTGTAAATTCTCACACTAAACCTTTAGATTGCTTGGATTGAACATTTTAGTCCATGATATTTTTAAAACTGTGATCTTTAATTTTACAAAGTGACATTCATTTTAGTTTTTATTTTTATATTTTTTTAATTGTAAAAAGATAGTAGAAAATGAAGCAATAAAAAAAACATGTAAAGTTAGAGACTAATAGAGAATTTTAAAATGTTAGCAATTAAAATGTTTGATTCTTCAATCTCGAGGATTAATTTGAAGATTTACTTCATTTAATTCTTTTGCACACTTGTCTGGGTTGGAAAAAAATTCAGATATTGGAATTGTAAATCAAACGTTATATTGAAATTAATACTACTATATTATTTAATACTTATAACACGGGTTTCATTTTCAGTTAACACTTTTGAGCTTATGATAAAGTACGGGCCTGGCTGGATTAGGGTGGAACGCCAGCTTTATTAGAGGTGAAATGTTAATTTAAGCAAAAGTCCACAAGGTATAATTCTAAAGATCATACTACTTAATGGATGTAACAAAAATAAAATCCTTCTATGTTTGGATTTCTGTTTGAAGAGCTTCAAATTTCTCAAGCAAGAAACAGAAATAACTATTAGATATCTTTAGATAAATATAAGTTCACGTTTGAATAAACGTTTAGATAAATACTGGCTTAATAATTAATGATTTATAAATTATCTAGTGTCCAAATATTATCATCAATGGCTAAGAAAATAATAAAAATATTAAAATTATATTAGATATTATAGTATATTAATAGTAGTGATAAATGCATATTAATAATACATATTTTTTAATTTTCACTTTTGATATACACAACTTAATGGAGTAATTACTTAATATATTTTTTTTTATAAATCTTTTTATTAGATAAATTAATTATTATTATCATATGTTTTTTTAAGATATTAAATGTATCTTTTGTACTTGTTTTATAAAATATGAAGATGATTCGTGAGAAAATATTGTAAGGGGTCATAATATTACTCTTACAAATTGATCAAATAATTTAAAAAATAACTTGGTTACAAATACAATGAAGTCACCTCTGCTAAATATTGGTTGGAATTAATAAGAAGAAAGTTTTAGCTAGACGAGTATAGGGATGCCGCCTTAAAACTTTATCACAACCACTTACCTTAAGAAAATCAAACTGCAGAAAGGACGAACCCAATCAGTCTGAGAGTAGGGACTTAAACATAGAACGGAAGGGATCAAATCTTAAATCTTATCTTCTTATGAGTTTTATATGTACTTTTATGATTTTGTCTTTTTACAAAAGAGATAAAAAAAAACAAAAAAAACAAAAAGGGTAATACAAAATTAATAACCTATTTGATAAGTAACCCTCAGAGATTATTTTATGAAAATAATAAATGAAATTATTTTATTTTATGTATATTTTTTTAGTTATATTTTAAAATATACAAAAATATAAAGTGTCTTTTTTTTTCACTAGTAATACAGTAAGAGAATTATGATTGCTGAATAAAATAACCTCTATCATTTTTGAGACTCATTATTTTTTAACTTTGAAAAAGTTTACAAATAATTATAGGTTTAGTTATCTTTTTGGTCTATAGTTTTATAAATTTAACATTTTAGTTTTTATAATTAAAAATATTCTATTTTAGTTATTATACATATTACTTTTGTTTCTTTTTAATTTCCGTTGTCTATTAGAATAAAATATTTTGATTATTGGAAGTAAAAAAGTAAAGCTGATGAGGGAAAAAAATAATTAAACCATAATTACATACGCTGGGGTCATTTCGAAATTAATTACTTTTACACAGCTAATTTTGTAATTATAATATGATATCCATGCCATGAAACAATCACAACCGTCCCTTTATATTAATGAAAAATCAAAGGTTTTGGAGTGATTGGACCATCTATCACACCTTCGATTTATCGAGAAACTGTATTGGACCGAAATAAGCAACCCCATACATAAAATGTTAAGGTTCATGATATATACACTTTTTTTTATTTTTATTTATAAGTATACTTTTTTTTTTTTTTAAATAATTAAATTTTTAAAATATTTTTAATATTTTTAATTCTTTTGTTTTTTATTTTTAATTTTATATCTATAATATTTAATTTATTACTTTTTTTTCACATATTTTTCTTCTTTTTTTAATTTTTACATGTATTTCTTTATTTTTTTTTATCATACCTATTTTGATAGCATGTGAAAATTTAAAAAAGAAAAGTGTGTGAAAAAAAGAAAAAAAATAACAAATTGAAAATTAGAAGTGTAAAATTAAAAAATTAAAAAAAAATTATAATACTTTATAAATTAAAAAAAAATAAAAGAGATGTACTTATTAAAAAAAATAAAAAAAATGAAGGTGTATATATGATGAGCCAAAGCCCACGAACCCCAATGGATCTAAATTGGTTGCACCTGCAGTGAGCGAGTAAAGTGATAGTGAAGAAGATCAAGGAAGAATGGCATCGAGGTCCGGCGAAAGCGAAGCGGAAGAGGAGCAGCACCGTCGTGTGCCGCTGCGGGAGAGACCGGAGTGGTCGGATGTTACTCCGCTTCCGCAAAACGACGGTCCTAACCCTGTCGTTCCGATCCAGTACACCGAAGACTTCGTCGAAGTTATGGATTACTTTCGCGCCGTTTACGTCGCCGACGAGCGTTCCCCTCGCGCCCTCGCTCTCACCGCCGAAGCTCTCCAATTCAACTCCGGCAACTATACCGTATGTTTATATCTCTATCGGTTCACACTCCTTAATTTCTTTACAAATCGCACTTTTATTTTACTCTGCTACGAATCTTAAGCACTTACTCGTTACTGATAAGTGTCAAGTTTGAAGTAAATGCTGCCGGTTATTCGTTGCGTGTTTTTTGTTTATTGTCGCGATTGAAGGAATTCGTCTGCGTTTTGTTTCGCAGGTGTGGCATTTCCGACGGTTGATTCTGGAGTCGCTAAAAATTGACTTACACAGTGAGCTAGGGTTTGTGGAGCGTATGGCCGCCGGAAATTCCAAAAATTATCAGATGTGGTGAGATGCTCTGCTCTTTCTTCGTTACTTTGGTTCGATTCGCAATCATCCTGGCAACTTTTCAAAAGCTAATGCTCCATTTTTAGGTTTTGTAATAGGCACTTTGAATTAACTTCTCAATAATGAGAGAAGAAAATAAAACGAATCGAGAGAATCAAAATTCTTACATAAGGACCTATTTGGATAGGTTTGCATTTCTAAAAGAGAAAAATAGGAATGAAAGGTTAAATAAGCTTTTCCATAAGCTAAAACTAGCTTATTCATTAGTTTAAAATAAGATTTTGAAGAAGTGTGAGGACTTCTATGAATTAGTTTATGGAGAAGTTTATTTCATTTTTTTTTTTTTTTGTTTTTCTTTCCTAGAAGTGATTATGGAGAAATTTATCTAAACTGACCCCTAGTTAAAATCAACTTATTCTTCTGTATGCTATGTTTGGTAATTGATAGTCTTTTTTAACGTAAACCTTGTGTATTTGTGCTGTTCTGAATTAAAGTGCTTCTGAGTTATTTGACCTCTTTTGTACACATATCATCACATTGATCTTCATGCCAGATGTTCTGTAGGCATCATAGGCGATGGGTTGCTGAGAAATTAGGACCTGAGGCTAGAAACATTGAGCTTGATTTCACCAAAAAGATACTGTCTATTGACGCCAAACATTATCATGCATGGTCTCATAGACAGGTTTGTTTCTCAAATTGTCACCACAAATCTTAAATGCTCAATTTTAGATTTGCGTGCACATTAGTCTGAGGCTTTGTGCTCAATTTTCTAGTTTAATGATTGAGACTCAATAAAATTTTTCTGCTTTTCTTGTGTGGACAGTGGGTTCTTCAAGCACTAGGAGGATGGGAAAATGAACTTAATTATTGCACAGAACTTCTTGAAGTAGACATTTTTAACAATTCTGCTTGGAATCAGGTATGCAACTATGGTACCTATTATGTTTAGTCCAAACAGTAGACACAGCCTGTCGTGAAAAATATTCAACATGGATTGTATGATTGTTGCCTAATTAATAGAGATCACACACCTACACAAAAACACCCCAGTGCCCCTAATGTTACATTTTCCAATAATTACAATAAAAAAAAAAAAAATCATCTCCTTGTTCTTTGTTAAAGTTCCATACCATCTTTAATTTTATTTTTAGCTAATGATGGCCATTTTTCCCTTTTAGGTTCTTTTGCTAACGAAAGAGTTCAAATAGTAATTGATTTGAGGTTCAATCTCTTCAATATAATTTAATTAGCAAGCACTTGGTGCAAGGCATGGGTATATTTATAGAAATGTAAAAAATTAAATTAAAAATATTTTGCAATATTAATTTAATCAATAAATAATTATTTCAATGTTAATAAGTATAAACATACAAATATTTTAGAAAATAACTTTTAAAATCCCAAAAATTATAGCAATTAATAAAAAATAGTGATGATTTACATACTATTTAATGTTAATTGAAAGTGTTCATTAATAAAAATCATGGAAAGTGAAATTCTTTATTCGAAGAACTAATTAAGAAAGAAATTAATAGATTCAATTTAATATGGAAACTCATGGCACATTTACAAAATAAGGAAAATGTTGTTTTATCAAAAGAAAGAGTATTTCTTTTTTGATTCATTCAAAAGAAAGAGTATGATGTAACTTTGTGAGAATCATGATTGAGGTCTTAAATATAATAAATAGAACCTTAGAGCCTGATATTTGGCATTTGTACTTGCTCATTATTATACGCAGCACGGGTTTACCTCGTGGAATGACTTGAAAACCAAATTTAATTTTAAAATGTTTTCTTCATTTTCTTTCTCAATGTAGAAAATTAACATGTAATAATTTTGACAGAGATATTTTGTCATAACAAGGTCTCCTTTCTTGGGGGGTCTGAAAGCTATGAGAGAGTCTGAAGTGCTTTACACCATTGAAGCCATTGAGGGATATCCTGAAAATGAAAGCTCGTGGAGATATCTACGAGGACTTTATAAAGGTGAAACCGCTTCATGGGTAAATGATCCTCAAGTTTCTTCAGTATGTTTAAAGATTTTGAGAACCAAGACCAACTACGTGTTTGCTCTTAGCACTATTTTGGACCTTATATGCTCTGGTTATCAACCAATGGAAGACATTAGAGATGCTATTGTTGCTTTAAAGACTACAGATATGGATAAACAGAATAACGATGATGATGAGATAGGGGACCAACAAAACTTGAACATCGCAAGAAGTATTTGTTCTATCCTAGAACAAGTTGATCCAATTAGAATCAACTATTGGATTTGGCGCAAGAGCAGGCTTCTTCCATCCACTTAGTTCCAAAGTAATTAAAGGATAACTTTATGTCGTGTAATTTATACCTAATTTATTAAGCCGTTGTTTGTTTGTTTGTTTGGGGTGATTTAGAAAGCATTGGAATCGGAAGGAATGAATCGAGAAAGAAATGGTAAATTTCAGTTATTTGGTTAGAGATGAACGGAGATTGAAAGTGAGATTAATTGTGGGACTCATCGAAATTCATTTCTCTCCCTCAAAGACGTGATTTGTAGCTGACTCTTGGATTTTATATTTTGTTTGTTTGTTTGTATTTTTTTTTTTTGTACATACGCCTTTGATAGTACCACTTTCATTTTTTTTCCAAGCTTCATTATTGTTACAAGACATTTTTTTGAAGTAAATTCGGTAGTTGATGCACGTCGTGTGGGGCGGTAAATTCGCTCGTCTCAACCAAAATTAAAAATAAAAGTCGAAGTCATTTTCCTAACCTAGCTACTAGCATTTTAGTGGCAGAAAGTTACTTAAATAATTTGAATTGCAATTGAAGTGGAAACTAAAGCAATTTTTTTTATACATAATTCGTTAATCATCAAAATCAAAGACAGACTAAAATCTTACATAGTATTTAGTTAGAGACTTTGAGAATCTTAAATATTCAATGTGAGAATGTTGTATTAATGATTACGAGTTCTTTTGCGTTTGAACCAGAAGATCAAAATTGCGTAATTCCATTTTTAAGTCATCTTTTCAGTTCTGCGATGTGTAATCCTGATCTTGTCATTTATATTTGTAGTTTATAGTCTGCGACAGTAATTGACTAATAAAAACTGATTTATTTTATTCCTCTACTATTAAAATTTTGTTATTATAAAAGATGAATAAACTATTCATTGTATTTTTTTGTTTTATTGAAAAAAGTAGGCGGGGAAGATAACTTGGAATTAAAGATAGAATCCATCAAAGAAGGCTGTAATGATACATGGGTAAGAAATCAAGAAAAGATGTGTCCACATCTTGAGGATCAACCTTTACATCCACCTAGTAAGTAGAGAAGATTGACTGACGCTGTGCTCCCTAAAGGTTCTTGCCAGGCAAGACATTGTAATTACTATACTATTTTTAACATTTCAGTTCTTGTGAGTATGATTAGTTTGAATATATGTTATGATAGGCTGTTTAACATTTTTTAGTGGGCCTATGATTGGTGTTTGTGGTGCATTAAAATGGTCACTTCATAAATTTGAGTAAGATAGGGAAAAATGTTTTACCACATGCATGATGTTTTATTAATTTATTTGGTTCTGTGTACAAGAAATCCCATGAATGTTGATAGTTGCTTGGTAGTACTGATACCAATAGGAACACGAATATGATATAATACTGCTAGAAGAATAGTTTAAGGACAGTACTACCAGCATAGATGTTGTTGGCTGTAGTTTGTTTGGGGGGGGGGGGGGGGGGGGTGGAGTTTAATTTTGAAGAAAAATCTACTTGTAGACAACAACTGCTCCCTTCTTCTTTATGCAGTACTTCAAATTCTGTTTAATCTTGCAGGAACTAGATGATACATGTCATGACAATAATTGTCTCCTACCAATATATCACGTATCTCAATTAGGTGGTAAGACTATCTAATCTATATGTAGAATCCAGGATTGCGTCAAATTTTATTGTGATTTGTGTGAATATGTGTCTCTTTATATTGAAAGAGACTAGACCAATCTATTTTTATTTGTTCCGAATACACACTTGCTCATCTTTAAGTAGTTTAATGAGCAAGTTGAACATTTGTTGATGCATCTATGTTTGGTAATTATCATGTACTTGACTTGCATATAAATTTGATGAGTACCTCTTGAAGGTGGATTCCAAGCTAATATAGCTGTTAAAGGACTAGACTTTGAGTGTTCCATTGGAGGTAACTTTTGTTCCAATCCTCTCGATGCAAGAGAATCCGCTGCTGCTAAGATGTTAGATAACTTAAGAATAGAAATGACACGCTTTCTTGGTCTCTGTCTTCCGTGTGGTTCTTTTTTTTTTTTTTTTTTTTTCGAGTAACTAAGGAAATTGAGGAAACTGCATTGTGTTTTATGTGATTGATTTGTAAGACAAACTGCCTTCCGTAGTATCATTCCAACAGTTTTCTTTTGGTTTGCTCTTTTAACTGTCTTGCATGTGTTGTTTTTTCAGGTTTGTATAATGTTTTAGAGCATTCATAATGCAAGTTGTTTAATTACGTAACTTATTCATTTTATTGAGCCCTCTATTGTCACATCACATCTAAGCAATCTATTTAATTTTCACACAATGCAAGTTCTTGTCAAAATTTTTTTTTAATTTATAAATATTTTTCTTTCTCTTCAATATCTCATATTTTTTCCTCTAAATGTACACAAACAAATTTAAAAAACAACTCAATAATATTTTATTGTTAAGTAACTCTTATCGGAGACACTCTTAGTTCTTATAGCCAGCCATTGGATCATGAACCCGCCAGAGGAGACCTTACTAAACGCTTATGTTGCCATTTTTTTGGTACATAGCAACTAGACCGTCGGCAGGCTTTATCAAGGGAGAAGAATTCAACATTGGGATATTGGCAACTCCGTTCTATTTTTCACTCTTTATTCCAAAGATTTTGTAATTCTTTAAAATATATCTTTTTTTAGAAATTAATTTTTGGATGTACAAAAGAAACTAATTTTGGAATATATATTTTTAGTAATAGTTTGAAATTTTATATTTTAGTTTTCAAAATATATTTTAATAATCAAATTTCAAAATATTAAAATTAATACCAAACAAATTTAGGGCTCAGTTAGTTTAGTAATGAGTTTTGGATATTTAAATATATATATTTTTAATTGAAGGTTATTAGCTCAAGTAGCCCGGTACTTATATTCCTTAACCAATGATCGAAGTTGATACTTGGCCTAGGCATGAAGTCCCAACCGGAAGTACTACTTTACTTCTGTGGGTCAGTCAACTTGGTAGGAGAGTTATATCTTCTCTTTGAACAAAAAAATGATTTTTTTTTTTAAACGAAGTGCAAAGAATAAAGAGTAAAATGGTTTTTATTCCAATTGGCATTGTTGCTACCATCACTATTATCACATACCACAATATGGTCATCAATATTACTACTACAATTACCATTGATACTGACACTATTATCAACATGGTCTCTGCTAGCATTATCTTTGTTACCATCATCATTATCATGTAAGCACACTCTTAAACTAATTCTAAGAAAGTAAGGAATTTTATGGTAAGGAATCTAGAAGAGTCAAATTCTTCTAACAAGAACCTTGTAATAAGTTGATCAGCTTTGATCAAGTCTTGTTGAATGTAAACTTATTGGACTTGGATGACGGGCTTGAAGTCTACTTGAACGCTGATGGGCAGAACCTACTTACACTACACTGTCCACAGTGAGGCCGTAGAGGAGTACAAATTGCTCTTCCAAATCCTACCTTCAAGTCAGAGGATGATATATATACAATGTTGTAAGATAACATGCTTCCAATAATGCAGCAAAAACACAACATAGGGCATTTTTCAATATACAGTTAAAAGGAAAATGAGCTGAGAGCATACCAAAAGAGGATTTATAGGAACCCATTCTTCCTTCGGAAGCCACCATTGCAGCGCTTGTCTTGTTTCTTCTGGTGTCAATGTTTTCTAGCAAAGGGAAGAGGATTAATAACTTCCAATTTGTGACATTTAGAAACAAAATGGAAGAAGAAATGGAATCAAGTCAATCAAAGAGTAAATTTCTTATTGCTGATTGACACCAACTCATAAGTACAGATGCTTTCAGATCTCAAAGTAAACAAGTGAATGAAATGATATGATCTGATGACGACATTACCATGTTCTTACTTCTTACATAAATATTATTCGCATAAGATATATGCATTGACAGCCTTAGTAATTAATTTGCAATTTTTTTATCTGACCAGCAAATATGATGAAAGCTTATTGCAACCATCGTAGTAACAATTGTCTTGTTTGTATCAGCACCTAGATGGTTAGATGTTCGGGGACAATGAATCATGTAGCAAATGCCAATAATGCTTGACAGTTGACAAGACACTTGGACTTGGGATCCAATTCCAGTAAAAGAAACTAAACTGGTAGTGGGTTGTAATATTAGTAAAAAAATGTAATAAAAAATATATATTTTTGAATATAATGTCAATTTCAGAAAGTCACTGAAGAAACATAATATGTGATGCCACCAAACTTATATAACCTGTTTTGAGCCTGATCTCGAAACCCATCCAAGGCGATTGCAAATGCGGTGGACATGGGTATCCACACATATCCCTTGGACATTGTTCCATCCAACAATCATAACCTATAATGCCACCAACAAAATGAATTTAAATAGGAAAAAAAAAAAGCACACTGACATCACTAACACTAACAAAATGAGCCTAAAAAAGTTAAAATAATCATTTAGTTCCTAAGATGACACTCATTTAACTGAGAGCTCTTTCTTGATTCTATGAGTGAACGTGCATATTCATAGTTGGTGGAATGATTTGTCTAAGCTAATTTCTTTAACAAACGAGACATCATAATCACTTAAGTATTAGTTACTATATGTCCTTATTTATACACATTGGTCTCTGCTGTTACTATACTTCTTAAGTTTTAGTTTCTTGAAAACTTAAATTTTAGTTTCTATAAGCCTTTTATATGGACTAAAACCTATGTGTTTTTTTTATTTTTTTTTTATTATTATTTTTTTAATTTTAAGGACTAATTCCTAAATGAGTGTCACCTGTAGGCACCAAATGTTTATTTTAACCAAAAATTAAACAAGGAATTACAAAAGTATTTTGTACGTACCAGATGAGCGATCTTAGGACCTACGCCTGGAAGTAAGAGTAGTTCCTCAATTGAGCTCGGTATGTCTCCATCATACTTCACGAGACAAATATTAGCAATTTTCTTCAAGTAACTGGCTTTTCTTGTATAAAATCCAACCTTGGAAAAGAATACCAGAAAGTACAAGCATAGATATTTAACTAATATTGTATAAAATGAACACGGCACCAAATGAAATTGACATACTAACACGTAAACTAAGCAAATATTGGATCATTCATTTGCCATCAAATCCAGATTATTTGAATCGCATGAGAAAATGGTTTTCAGCAGCCACCAATCTTTGGCAAAGAACATACAGGATAAATCAACTTTTTGATGATTTCTTCATCAGCTTTGTTGATTGCATCAGCAGTAAGCATACCATTTTCACGAAGACGTTGAGTAGCTCCTATTCTTAAAAATATATACTTGTAATTAAAACAGTCTCATAAGCAAGTTGAAATATGATAACACTTAGTAACTGCCAAATTATTAATCACATAATGAAGACAGGTGATAAACATGATTAGGGTGTTGAAGTACAATGGCAGTGCATCTCTTAAATTAGCAGTTGATTTGCAATGTTTAAGTTTCAGAGTTCAACCTTCTATTTCAAGTTTATTTTTTAACCTACACCAGGCAAATTATCTTATTAAGCTTCAGCATAATTGACAAGTTGATTTTTGTACACTACTTATCTTATACAATTATCTATAGCATTTCTTTCTTTGTTTTCCAGCTCAATACAAGACAAACTTTTGGGAATTCAAGATAACATTTGTTTCGCTTTATGTGGAATAGGTGCAGCTAATGTCATACTTTTGATGACGCAATAGTGTGCACATGATTGAACAAATAACATCACCTTAGAATGAATGCAAATTATCTTATTAAGCTTCAGCATAATTGACAAGTTGATTTTTGTACACTACTTATCTTATACAATTATCTATAGCATTTCTTTCTTTGTTTTCCAGCTCAATACAAGACAAACTTTTGGGAATTCAAGATAACATTTGTTTCGCTTTATGTGGAATAGGTGCAGCTAATGTCATACTTTTGATGACGCAATAGTGTGCACATGATTGAACAAATAACATCACCTTAGAATGAATCAGTGTATACGACTGCAAGCTAACAAAAAAGGAAAAGAGAAACATCTTTTATGAGCGTAAACTCAAGAAGGCATATGTGCTTACCACGAGTAACATGCTCCTTAGTTTGGCTCGATAAAAGGGAAGATGCCAGGACAGAAAATCTTCTTTCCTAATCATAATCATGAGAATTTAGATAAGGGTAAATTTATGCACATCATGCTTCATATGTATGCTGAAATTAGAAGAATACAATTCTCCAATAATAACAATAGTTAATATAAAGTTTCTATGACAGTCCAACCAATTCAAAATTCAAAACTTATATTAATGAGTAATGAATAATGCATAATGGTCGATGGTTGAGTAAAATTATGTTTGGATTAATTGAAATGTATGTAATAGTGGGGAATTGAATGCAATGACATTAATTACCATTGTTTTGATTGTTTAAAATACGGTGTGTGTGTGTGTGTATTGTGCAGGAGGTTCACATATGTGTGTCCACATTGGTATGAAAATTTTCACTTTGAGCTTAAATAGTTAACCCCTCATGGATTTGGCTTTTATCATCACTCAAAAAGCCCCATTCCAATAGAGACATTAATGTGTTCATAAATTCATGTTTTTCTTCTTATTTTAGCGATATAAGACTTTGAAAATATGAGACTTTGAAAATATACTAACAGTGTGAAACCTAATCAAACCAAATCAACAAAAGTAGGTTACAGTGCTAGACCTTAGGAGGTACAGTATCACCAGCTTTGTCACGTGCAATAGTATCTACCGGTTCATGTTCGTCTACCGAACTCCTCATTAGGCGAATCCCTTCAAGAACCTCTTTCCAATGTGCAGGGGCCTCACCACTTTGAGCCAATTCACTTGGTCCTGTGGGTGCAAATCCTCGAATCTCCTGCATCAGGATGAAACTTACACTTGATCTTGCAGATGCAGTTAAAAGATTCACATTACAAGTGACAGTGTTCATAAGTTAGACCAGTTAAAAGATTTCACAAATTTTGATTGAGAATTGAAATTCCTAATTAAGGACTCACTTTGTGGTCTTCAATTTGAGGTTGGGTTACATGTTGAAATTGTACGCTTTTGTTGGCTCCTTTTTTACTCGCAGAGACTCGAACTTGGGACACTGAATTGGTTTTGGAGGAAAAGCATATTGATATTGTTGTTTTGCCAAACGCGATTCGTCCCAAACCAAACAAAGAAACCGCCAACATTCTCGGACACTATAATTGGCGGTAAACACACCTCCATTTTTATATAAATACACTTTCTTTTTTTATTTTTTAAATATATTAAATCTTTATAATAATTTTTAGAATTTATAAATTTTAGATATGTACTTCTCTTGTTTTTTTTTCCCACACTTTCCTTCTTTCTTTTTTTACGGGCACCTCCCTTTCTTTTCTATCCCTTTCTTCTTCTCTTTGTTGTCACTTTTTTCTCCGATCTCTTTACTTCCTCTTTTACCCTTTTCAATTTTTGCAATATCTTCTTTCTTTTTTGTTTTGTTCCGGAAAGTATTTTCTGGAATAATAAAATTTTTGTTTTGAAAAATACTTTCTGGAATAAGAAAGTTTTTGTTCCAGAAAATACTTTTCATAATAGTAAATTTTTATTCCGAAAAGTATTTTTCGAAAATGTTTTGTTACCAAATTCCAGAATACTAAAGTTATTGTTCCGGAAAGTTCTTTCTGGAATTATATAAGAAACACACTTCTAAAAAATATTTTCCGGAACAATAATTGTACTATTCCAGAAAGTACTTTCTAGAATGCTAAAATTAACATTTCGAATCTTATTTTCTGAAAATATAACAAATTTAACTTACGTGTTTCGTTATCTCTGTCATCCACCATCGCCATCTACGATCGAAGTAGGTTAATTATATATTCCTGTTGTCCATAAGTAATGTTAAATAAGTTAAAAAAAATTATAAATATATAATGTAATTTAATATATTAATTTGTACCTTATATTGGATGTAGAGAATAATGAAGATTGAATAAAAAATTAAGGTTTAAGAAAGGATAGGGTAGAAAGTGAAAAATATAATTTAAAAAATAAAAATATAAAATATGATTATGTTGATTGTAAAAGAAGAAAAGTCAAAAATAAAAAACAAAAAAAATAAAATCATAAAAAAATGACTAGAGTGATGAAAAAGGAGAATGAGAAAAAAAAATAATGAAAGAAGGGATAAATAAAAAATAAGTTTAAAAATAAATCTTAAAATAAGAATTTAGTTAGAAAGATATTTTAAAAAATTTATTTAAAAAAAATAATTAAAGGTATATTTATAAAAGATAGGAGATAATATATCATGGGCCAAATTGGCGCACAAACAAAACAACACCAAATATCAAACATGTTTTTGGACTCAAGATAAACAAACTATTCGTGGGTGGGGCTCTTTTAAAAAGGGTTACCTTAAAACTAATTAATAGCATGTACCGTGAAGTTGTTTTAAATTACTGTTTTTTTTTTCATTTTACATTTACAAACAAATTACTAATGGTTATGACCAAATCATTGTCGTGGAATTGTTATGACCATGATCGGAATCTATTTTTTAACACATGTCAAATTTAACTTAACTATAACAATTCACCTACAAATAATTTTATAAAAGTATATTTAAGTCAAATTAAAATATATAAATTATAGTTTAGAAAATTACATGGAAATTTTAAATAAACGTGTGATTTTAAATTTTAGTTGTTATGTATGAATTTACATTTTCTCATTTTACTTTTGAATTTTGTAGATTGTAAGTTACTAATAAGGTTAAATTAATTTAGGTATGAATATTTGTTTTTGATCTTATGTATGTCATGGATTAATTATTTTTTTCTAATTGTTGCATTTTAGGTTAAAAGATTACTGATAAGTTGATTTGAAAAGTATTGAATCTGATTTTTTTAAGTTTTAAGTTCGAGTCTAATATATAAAAAAAATATAATTGAAAGGATAATTTCATTAAGGACATCAACTAAATTCTTTAATAAAGATTAAATCAATAAATATTTCATATTAATAATATAATTATAAAAAAAAATAGAACTAGATGACTAGATGACTTCACTAATTTTTTTATATATAGTTGTTTTTGTCTATGAACATACATATACATGTAATATTTTAAAACTTATAATGTATTAGCAAGATATGGTTTCTACTAACAAAGTATTATTATATCGAAAAACTTAACAGATTAATTCTTTATTCTTTTTTATTTTCAGTTTCATTTCTTCAATTTTTTTTATATGTATCCTTTGTTTTGTTTTTTTTACCGGTTTAAATTTAGTTTTCTTACTATTTACAAATTTTAAATGCTAGAATTTGTGAGTTTTTATTTATGAATTTTGTAGATTTTAACATTCCCAATAAACTAATAATTCAACAAGAGGGATCAAAGATTGAAATAAAGAAAAAAGAGAAGAATGATTAAACTGCAGCAAAAATAAGTAAGAAAATAAGTTGAAATATACAAATAAAATCAGAAGATGAAAGTATTAATTTTGCTAAATTTTAAGAGTGGGTTATTTTTAAAAAAATAATTTTCACTAAAAAAAATCGTGAACTATATAAATGGCGACATTTCAACTTTAAAGACCATAGAGTGTGTCTTGCTTGCTGAAGACTTCACAGAAAATGTGATTTGATTTTGAGTTTTTTCTTCCGTTCGCAACGTCCCTTCGGCTTCAACAACGCGTGAGTAATTGCTTTTCCTTTTATTCGGTTGTGTTTGTTTTTGATTTCGCGTTTTAGGCTTTTAGCTTCATTCCGATACCAAACGGCATTAGTATCAGTGTTTGTGTTTGATTTCGCGTTTTAGGCTTTTAGCTACATTCCAATACGAAACGCCATTAGCGTCACTGACCGACGAAGCTACTGTGTACTTGTTCAATTTGGTCGCACTTTTTTGTTTAAATTTCTTTCCATGGGCTTTTTCTTCTTTTTCTCTTTATAGATTCCAAAAGCAACCACACACTGATACATTTTGACAAAAAGTTTGTTCTGTAAGCATTAATCTGTGTTTTAAACAGCTGAAACTCAAGGGTGACTGGAACTGAAAATCAGTGGATAGAACATGACCTCATCAGATGTGTGTCCCACTGAGGACGCTCTTAAGGCATTCCTAGAATACTTGGTTGATCCAATGCTACCAGCAAAGTCTTCTATACGAGATAATCTCCCATTATCTCAACAGCAATCAGTTGCAAAACAGGTATACCAATTCAAAGATTAGCCCACGTGATTTATTTGGAGACTGGTTTAAGTTTTTTTATTTTGTTTTTTTTTTTTTTTTTTTTTTTTTTTTTTTTTTTGTTTTCTATGCTTGGAAGATTGTTGAATATGTTTGCTTAAAGAAATATACTACTCAAAATCATAGTAATTAGAAATTTAGAATCTTACAATTTAAGATTCAAATCTTATGATTTGATACAATTTGACGACCTGCATATTCATATCATTAGATGAATCTTAAATAACCTTGTATCTTATGAAGCAAGGAGGAATTTGTGCAATTTTGAATGATCAATGAGAATCACATGATTCAATCATTCGTTATCTTTTGAAAAGTCATATAAACTATAAATCCTTAAATGAAAAGGAATTGAAAGAACACTTCTAAATTTATTCTATTTGATTATTCTACTACTTTATTTGTCACTCATTCAATGCATTTACTCTATTTAGATATTTGATTGCTTTGTTTCCATTATTCTAAAATAAAGGTTTCACAAACTCAAATATAACTAATAACTTTTATTTGCAAGACTTCTTGTTAAGTTATTTTATCCATTTCTAGTTTAAAATTTTTACATTGAACACTATATATATTATCTAAATGATATACTTAAAGCAGTTTTCCATTTTACCAAAAAAATAAACAGTTACCCATTGTCCCTGAATCTTACTATTCAATACAAATTATGATGATTAAAAAATTAGCTTGGTTATTCATGATTTGGATTTTAATTGATAATCTTGCTTAAGATTTTATTTTCCCTTTTATTGTTTCCTTACTCTACAGATTATTGTTAATTTGTTTCTATGTTTTGTCATATATATATTGTCATTTCGTAATGAGGTGCAAATTTCAAATCTTTGAAGAACTTGCAGTAACTGGCACATAAGATTTGACCCACTTAACTCAAGACCAGATAGGTTTAAGGGAATAAAAGTTTTAGCCATCATCCTTTTAATTTAACCTTGATAAACAGGCATTCAGTGTTGTCTCTAATTAATGAAGATATATTGTGATGACACTCATTTCCTATCCAAGTCTTATTCTGTGCATTTTTAATGAATTCATGTCTTTCTAATTTTACCTCGATGTTTCATGATATGATAATATGAGTTAGAGGTTGGCAAGCGGAAATTCAAATAAATAAAGTAATCAAATTACCTTATTCTTTTGTATTTGAAAATTTCTTTAGTAAAATATACCTTCTAATTTATTTACTTGAATTTTCCTCTTAAGTTTTGGAGATTGGCATTTAGTGTATTATGGTGTGTTGCCAATATGAACCTAGTGAGAACCACACTGCTAAAGCTACTTATTGTAGTTAGAAAAACCAAAGACTTGTAAACCCCACACCAAAATCCCATATTTTCAATGTGTGACTTGCCTCATATTTTGCAATAGGACCCTAACATCTGACCATGCTTCGCAGTCCCAAACGCTTATGTAGGCTAGTAGTCCACTAGCCCTTTGTTTTGACTAGTCCTAGGCAAACATTAATATGTTGGTTAACCACTTATGCCAGTAGTTTGCAGCCAAGATTCATGGTGAAAGGATTTGATACCAATTGATATGAACCTCGAGAGGATCATGCTACTAAAAGCTAGTTGTTGTAGTTGGAGAACAAATCTTATAAAACCCACACCTTCCCATACTTACAATTCAGGACTCTCAAGTCACACACCTTGTAATGGATCATAACAATATCCATGTAATCCTTAAAGAAGTAATACATTTTAATATCCTATTCCATTATGATTTAAGAATTGCATACATCATAAGTGTATACCTCTTTTATAGACATATATGAAGAGGTATTTGTCTTTTTTATTATTAATTATTCTGGGTTTTGGGGTTATTTGTATCAGGTTCATTCTGTTGTGTTATTGTACAACTACTACCACAGAAAACAGTATCCACAGCTTGCTTTTCTGTCATTTGATGAATTTTGTAAGTTAGCTGCGATTCTGAGACCAACTTTATCAGTGCATATGAAATACATACAGGAGCCTGAAGTTGGTGTGGAGAAGCAGTCTTCATTAACAGAAGAAAAGATCTTGAATGCATGTAAAATATGTAAATATTTAGATGCAGCAAAAAATGTTCCTGATATAGAGGGATGGCCCATTTCAAAAGTTGCTGTTCTTTTAATAGACAGCAAGAAGGAGAACTGTTTCTTGCTTTTCAGTTCCATCACTGAGGGGGTATGGTCTGTAATTGAAAATGATACAGATACCTTTATCCAAAATTCAGAAGTTGTAAGCGGAGCAAGTGGAGCCACATTCAAAAAGAAAAGAGTCATTAAAAAGCCTAAAAAAATTGTGTTAAATTCTGAGGAAGATCAAATCTTGCAAATAGGGTATTCTGCTGTAAAGGAAGTTGCGGGTAATTATCCTTGAACTGAAAGATTGTCACAGTTATTCACTAGTGACGGCTCTATTTTAGTTTTAACTTTAACATCCCATATCATGGGACATTCAACATTGTTCCATATAAGGATTTTTCACTATCCAACTTGTTTGACCCAGTGAAGTTGTCAAAACCCAGTGAAGTTGTCAAAATGACAAGATGCAAAACTATGTTGTATGCTTATGATTTTCCTGTTGTCAGAAGCCCCAAATCACCTACCTCCATTCTTCGGGTGTGATTTATATATCTGTTAGATAACTTCACTTAATATCAATTGGTTTTAAGATGAAATCTAACATAGTATCAAAGTCTAGAGCCTATCTTCTTGATTTGCCTATTCTAGTAGGTATTGTTTGGTTTGACAGACATCTGTGGAGGGAGGGTGTTGGAAATTCCCACATCGGTTACCTTAATTCTCTGAGTGCAGTTTATATATTTGTTAGGTAACTTCATTTAATGCCAATTGGTTTTAAGATGAAATCTAACACCTTTTGATCTTATTTGAGGTTAATGTGGGATCTTATTTTGTTATTTCCCTGTTCTCTTTAATAAATATTTTGTTGTATTATGAAGCTATTGCATCTGATTGCTCATGTTAGTTAATGTACCAGTATCTCTTAATTTTGGTTCATGAAAAAATTGAAGACGATTCTCACATGCTATACAGGTGCTAATAAAACTGATATTATGGTTCTGGAAAGCTACACCGTGTATTCTCAAACCAAAGCGAAGACAGCTTCACGCTTTTACATAATGAAGTGCTCCCAGTTGATCAATCAGGAGTTTATTCAAGTCCCTATCAAATATTTGATTGAAAGGTACGTTTTAATTTTTATTATTTTTTTATCAGCTGATAGCCTGATAAGTCGAGTCCCAAGGGTGAACGACATAGATGTTTGCCATTTAGGTGGATTCATCTGCTCACTTTCTCTGGAATGTCAAATATAATTTTTTTTTGCACACAACAAAATAGCTTCAGCCGCTTCTAAATCATGTTATTTAGTTTATTAATTTTTTAATGGTAACTGGGGTATCAACATCCATTTTGATAGTTATTTTTGTTTTTCCTAGATTTTTTTGGATGGCTACTTATTAGCTAGATGTTATAGTTTATCATAAGTTTTCTTCTGTTTTTATTTTAGTTTTATACAATATGATATCATAGAATAATATCTGTGACAAGCTGATCTGCGCCATCTTCTAAGTGTTACTCATGTTCTTGATTTAATACGTGGATATTTGTCCATAATCCCTAGATTTTCAGTAATTGTCATGAAGAAATAAATCAGATTGTTAACAAAATTTGCTCATGCTTATGCATAACATTTTATGTTTTCTTTGGATAGCTTACAAGGTCCATTGGTTAAGAGAAGTACCGGCAGTTGGACAGTCACCTCAGTTGTTGAGTATTTCCATGTGCTTCCTTATTCAGAAAAAATCTCAGGGTGGATTTCTAGGTTGGTGTAGTTCTCCTCTCCCATTTATTTATGCTTCATCAAGTTTGCTTTTTGATTTGGGTTCAGATGTCAGGTAGCCTAGAACAAATTTTTTTATGCATCTACTGTGTGTTTTTCATAACCAATTTTGGTGACCATAATTGTGAACCTAACCATAATACATGATAATTAGAATTACTGATTAACTGCACCATTCTAAGTTGCACAATTGGACAGTTTGCAGTAATAGATTCTGGACTCATGATCAGACGACTCATAACATAATTAACGTTCCTCAAATCCCGTGATGTTTTCTTTGGAACCATTTTACACAAGATAAGGACAGTTGTTTGTGTTTTATGTTCTATGTTTGTAGAGAAACATTCTCAAATAGTTTGCAAGATTCAAAGCCATCAGAGAAAAATATGATGGTGGGCAGCCCTGAAGTGACAAAATCATATATGAGTAGTGAGGGCTTGTCTATTGACCTTAATAAGTCAAGCAGTGATGCTATTGAAGCTCTTCATCAGAATGAGAACAGTGGAAGCTGTGCAGTTACGTTGTCTGCTTCTATGAAGGAAACCCCAGATGTGTATTTGGACAAGTCTTTAGTTTCTCCGTCTAAAAACAAAGAAGAATGCCAGCATATTGCCAATACTTTACAAGTTAGTGAAGATCAAGAAATTGAAAATCCTTCTGTATGCCATTACTCAAGCCGATCTAAAAACCCTACCGAGGTTTGAAATATGTCTCTTTACCAACTCCTTTTTATTACTTTCGTTCACGTGACTGCAGTTGATGTACTACCGCTATGAGTCTTAAGTATGAGTTGAAAGAGTTTGTTATTTTTGTTATTTTTAGTGGTGATATGATTTAAGTACTTTTATCTCTATGTTGAAGTTGACTAAGAAAACAATCTTGTCCAAAATGCTAAAACTCGGTATGTGAAGTTTATACCTTGATTGTTTTTTAAATCAAAGATGATAATGTGGTACATGTATAAAGTAATTTTCTGCGGCAACACAGATTAACCTTTTGAAGCACATTGTTTAAGAATGTGGCCATGATAACCTTGTAATATTTGTGCAATGACCTTCCTTAACCTAGTTTTTGGAGTTGAGTTAGGTCTGGTCCATTTCTTATTCAAAGTACAAACTAGTGAGACCAAAAACATCATTGTTCCCTTATTTGTACTTTTTGTTATTTGTTTATGATAATTCCCTTTTTATTAAAAAAAAGAAGAAGGTATTTTCAAAGCATTTTCCAATATTTGTTAACTCATTTAATTACATGTCATTTGTTTGACAGGATGATAATGTTGATTCATCAAGGATGCTCATCACTGAGGGGGAAACTAAAGAGCAATCTACTTGTGATAAGATTTGTGCCAAAACCTCTTTTGAAAATAATTCCATAGAAGAACGTGCCTTGATTGCAAATAATCCCAACTCTGATCTTGAAAAGCTCCAAATTGCGATAGCTTCAAAGGGAAAGACATTGTCACAGACTGCACTCAATGCTCTTATACGAAAGAGGATTGCATTGGTAAAAACTGATTAATTTCGAAAACGAAGTACAAACTAGTGAGACGAAAAACATCATTGTTCCTTTACTTGTACTTTTTGTTTCGGATAAATGATGGTTCTTTATCTACATAAAAAAATGGTATTTCCTAAGCATTTTTCCGATATTTGTTTTCTCTCAAAAAATTACATGTCATTGGTTTGACAGGCTGAGAATGTTGGTTCATCAAGGATGCTCATCACTGAGGGTGAAACCAAAGATCAATCTATTTGTGATAAGATTTGTGCCAAAACCTCTTTTGAAAATGATTCCATAGAAGAATGTGCCTTGATTACAAATAAGCCCGACACTGATCTTGAAAAGCTCGAAAATCTTACAGCTTCAAAGGGAAAGACATCGTCACAGACCGCTAAACCCCCTTTCAAAACCGATTCGATAGAAGAATGTTCCTTGATTGCAAATTATTCTAGCACTGATCTTGAAAAGCTCCAAATTTTTGTGGCTTCAAAGGGAAAGACATTGTCACAGACTGCACTCAATGCTCTTATGCGAAAGAGGAATGCACTGGTAAAAATCTGTTCACTGCTTTTTCTAGTAAGGAGTCATAATTGACAAGAATGTTTATATTCATTCTCACCCTACCTATTCATTACTATTCTAGGAGTCTAGGACACAGAACATATAAACATGGTTGTCAAGATCAAATACATATGGCATATTGGCAATATATCTATAACTTGACTGAATAGTGAAATACATTTGGGGGGTATTACCACCATTTATTGGATTAACTCAATGCCTCAAACTTTTATATTTAACAATACTGTGTGCAACACAGTTCTCTACTTGCATACTTCCATGTGTTTGTTGATTTAGATCCTTAAAATAGTATTCTGAGTATTTGTACTGTGGAATGCACCCAAAGTTGTAGCTACTATACTGCTTTTCCTTAGTTCCAAGGATTAGCTTCTTTCTATTCTTTGAAGGTAAAAAGCTCTGCATTTGCATATATCTAAGACTAAGTTTCTTTGTGCAGGCTCTTCAGCAGCGCAAGATAGAAGAGGAGATTGCTCTGTGTGATAAAAAAATTCAGAGAATGTTAACTGGTATGTTTTCCTTGTCCTTTCCTTTAATTTTACTTTCCTGTGCATTCTTCTATCGGTAAGGCTTTTTCTCTTTAACTTTTACAGTGCTTCAGTTTTTAACTTACATTCTTTTTGATAGATTTTCTGGTCAACTATCAATTAAGCTCATAAGAAAATATGATTCTGATATAGGATAGTGATAATTGGCCTCTTTTATAAGCATTTTTTCCCATTTCCTTTTTCACATCTAATTGTAGGATTTTTTAGGAAACATCTGGTTTGATTTCATATATTTAAAAGCACATTAGGTGCAAAATGTAGTTCTATAAAAGATAGGGTAATAGCCTTGAATTTCAAATCCATTAAGGTATCGTATGTCGGACCATCTGACTTATTAAGAGCATTTTCAACTTCATCGATGATTATATCCTTAACTGAATCTAAAGCTTCCTTTGAGGCTTTGAGAATCTTAAATATTCAATGTGAGATGCTGTATTAACGACCACCAGCTTTGTTGCCTTTGAACCAAGAAATCAAAATTTCGCATAGCTCCATTTATAAGCCATCTTTTCAGTTCTGCAATGTTCAACCCTAATCTTTTTTCATTTACATTTGTGGTTTATAGTCTGGGACAGCAATTGACTAATATCAACTGATTTCTTTTATTCCTCTACTATTTATATTTTGCCATTGTAATTGATGAAAAACTATTATTGATATTCTTTTGCGTTCTTGAAAAAAGTAGGCGGGGAAGATGACTTGGAATTAAAAATAGAATCCATCATAGAAGGCTGTAATGATACATGGGTAAGAAATCTAGGAAGGACGTGTCCACATCTTGAGGATCAACCTTTACCTCCTCCTAGGAAGCAGAGAAGATTGACAGATGCAGTGCTCTTTAAAAGTCCTTGCCAGGCAAGACATTGTAATTACTATACTATTTTTAACATTTCATCTCTTGTGACTGCTTTGATTGATCACGTTATGACTGGCCTATGTAATTAAAAAAATAATCTGGTTCTGACATGAGAGGTGAGCATGTTAATTATATTTGGAGAAAAATGTACTTATCGACGGCCACTGCTCCCTTCATCTTTATACAGTCCTTCAAATTCTATTTAATCTTGCAGGAACTAGATGATACATGTCATGAAAATAATTGGCTCCGACCTTCATCTTCCCACTGTACTTCAAAATTATGTTTAATCTTGCAGGAACTAGATGATACATTTCATGAAAATAATTGGCTCCTACCAATATATCACGTATCTCAAGCATATGGTAATACTATCTAATCTGTATGTAGAATCCAAGATTGTGTAAAATTTTATTGCGATTTGTGTGAATAGGTGCCTCTTTATATTGAAATAGGTGAGACCAATCTACTTTTATTTGTTTCGTATACATTTATTCTTTTCTGCTCATATTTGTTGATGTATTTATGTTGGGAAATTATCATGTACATAACTTGCATATAAATTTGATTAGTACCTCTTGAAGGTGGATTCCAAGCTAATATAGCTGTTAAAGGACCAGACTTTCAGTGTTCCTGTGGAGGTGACCTATGTCCCAGTCCTCATGAAGCAAGAGAATCTGCTGCTGCTCAGATGTTAGCCAACTTAAGAATTATGGCAAAATCCGACCAATGATTTTGGCTCTTCTGTTCGAAGAATATAAATTACACGCTTTTGTAGGGTTCTTGGTTTTCCCCTGTAAGTAAGAAAACTAAGGAAAGTGCATTGTGCTTTTTGTGAATTGTGATTGATTTGCAAGACAAACGACATCTGTACTTCCCAGCCTGACTGGTGTTTTGCACTTTGCATAGTATCATTCCAACAATTTTCTTTTGGATTACCTTTTAACTGTCTTTCATGTTCGTCTATTTACAGTGTTGTTTTTTTAGGTTTGTATAATGTTTTAGTTCTTATAGTTTTCATCCGTTTGATTAGTCCCCAAAAATTTCAAGTTTTGGGTTTGTCACTTTTTAGACATTAGATTATGGTTCTACGATCCTACGCTGGGGCCAGGATTTTCATTTAAGGGGAACCACTATAAAAAGTAACAACAAAAAAAGAAAAAATTTCACATATACATGTAAAAAAAATTATATAAAATTATTATTTTTTATAAACAAAAGAAATAAATAATTCAATTAAGCATAAGACATATCCTAACCAACAAGTACAATTAACATGTAATTGTCTAATGATTAATAGCAAAAATAAAAGGCTAAAAAAAATATGAATATCAATAACACTTTTTCTTTCTAATATTTTCTTTACGTTTGATTAAAATAATCTAACCAACAAGTACAATTAACATACAATTGCCTAATGATTAATAGCAAAAACAGAAGGCTAACAAAAATATGAATACTAATAATACTTTACTTTCTAATATTTTCTTTATGTTTGATTAAAATTTATTAACAATATTTTGGTGAGACTTACTTCTCATTTAATGACTTACTCACCAAATTTAACTTAGAAGTGGAATGTATTAAAATTAGTAAAAAATAACTAAACAAATGAAAAATAGTATAAAAAAAAATGAAAGTAAGAAAATTCAGTGTGATGCTTATATGATAATAAACAAAATAGAGTGCATGATGATGAAGATAATATGCTTATATTACATAAGATTGAAAAAATGGTAGGAAACAAAAATCACATTTGCATAGAGTATTATAACAAAATTATAAACATCAGAATATTTTCTCAAAACTTTAAACAAACATGAGAATATGAGATTCTTAAATTTATATTCTTGAGAATGAATTTTAATTTGTGAAACAATCACATCTTAATATGAGCAACTAAGTTTTTGAAATTAGGGACAAAGACATCATTTAAGGGTTCATATGTGTTACATTTTCCCATAATTAAAAAAATATGTTTAAGGAATTTAAAATTCTATTATTTTAAATTTTTTTATAAATGTTTATATTTAATTTTTTTTTTGTAAATTTTCAATACAAACAAAGTATTTCACTTCAAAGAATTTGAAATTCTTCAAACAAATAAATTATTCCATTTAAATTCTCCATTCAAACACATTTATAAAGAATTTTTAATCACTTATTTTTTTAATTTATCATTTTTTATTTTTTAAATTGAATTTTAATATATATTTAAAAATTGTCAATGATTAAAAGAGTTTTATATAACAATATAAATTATTTATAGTAAATTAAAAATACAATTTATATATATAAGTTATTTATTTATTTCAAATTTTTATTATAATATAATTTATATATTCAAAATGTTTATTTATTATAAATTTGAATAACAAAAAATAAATATTTACCCATATATTACACAAGTTTAAAAATTAATAAAATATAACTGAATTCTAAAATAATATAAATAATTATATAGTATATAAATATTAAAACATAACATAGAAAGAAATTCTTAATTTAAATGTCATTCTCAAAACTTACCAATTTAATCCGCTTTGTCTCATGTCTGATGGGACACCTACTTTGTTTATAAATATACTCCCACCCATCCCTACGCTCATCACTCGCTTATTCTTAGAAATTCTTTAGGGTTTTGATTGTTGCTTACACTTCTACTTGTCACTCCTCACATGAAATTTTAAGAGTGTTAATGTCTCAATCAGTCTCAGGTGGTGTTAATGGTGTCAAGTGTTATGGGACGACAAAGCATAAAAGAGGGTAAAGAAAAGAAAGCTTGTTTTCTTTTTGATAAAGATGAAATCTTTTTGGTTTATGGATTTCTGGGTTTTAATTTGGTGTTGGTTCATTCAATTTTTCTATTTCTTGCATGTCAATAAGCTGACTTATGTTTTCATGGGTTTTCTGATTTCAGTCGGTCTCCAATAGGTTTTCATGGTGTCAAGTGTGTGTTATAGGAAGAGAAAGCAGAAAAGAGGGTTAAGAAACGAAAGCTTGTACAAAGATGTAATATTTTTTGTTATGATTTTGTGGGCTTTATATGTTAGTTCATTCAATCGTTCTATTTCTTGCATGTCAATAAACGGGCTATGTTTCCATTGGTTTTCTGATTTCAATCGGTCTCCAATGGGTGTTGATGGTGTCGAGTGTTATGGGAAGAGAAAGTATAAAGGTCAAGAAAAGAAAACAAGAAAGCTTGCTTTTCTTCATAAAATTTTCTTCATAAAAGCATACTCACATTGACAAAAGAGATATTCACTTTGCTTCCCAAACTTGTAAACTTGATTTTTTGCTCATGATATCAACGTAGAACCTATTGATAGTGATAGATTTTACAATGTTTCAGTTTTTAACTTGCATTCTTTTTGATAGATTTTCTGTCAAGTATCAAATAAGCTTAGAAGAAAATATGATTCTGATTTTGGATAGTGATAATTGGCTTCTTACAAGCATTTCTCCCCATTTCCTTATCACATCTAATTGTAGGATTTTTCTAGGAAACATCTGGTGTTTGATTTCATAAATATATTCAACAAGCACATTAGATGCAAAAAGTAGTTTTATAAAAGATAGGGTCATACCCTTGAATTTCAAATCCATTTAAGGTATCGTATGTTTGACCATCTGACTTATTAAGACCATTTTCAACTTCATCTATTATTACATCCTTGACCGAAACTAAAGCTTGTATTGAGGCTTTGAAAATCTTAAATATTCAATGTGAGAATACTGTATTAATGGCTACCAGCTTTTTTGTCTTTGAACCAGAAGATCAAAATTCCGTAGCTCCATTTATAAGTCATATTTTTAGTTCTGCAATGTGCAATCTTGATAGGCTGATTTCTTTTAGGAAATATGAATTATATTTTCAGTTTATATTCCTTTGAACATATGTTATGATAGGCTGTTTAACATTTTATAATTGGCCTATGATTGGTGTTTGTGGTGCATTAAAATGATTACTTCATAAATTTTAGTAAAAGAGGGAAAAATCTTTTACCAGATGCATGGGATGCTATACTAATTTATTTGGTTCTGTATACTCAAAACCTAGTTTCTTGGTAGTACTTATACCAATAGGAACACGGATATGATATAATAATTCTAGATGAATACTGCAATTTAAAAGAAATACATGGTCAGCAAAGATATGTTAATGAAGCAATCAAGAGATTATTAAAAGAGATTATTGTGATTTGTGTGCATAGGTGCATATTTATATTGAAAGAGGAGATCAATCTCTTTTCAACTCATCTATAATGAGAAAGTTGTATATTTCTTGATGCATCTACGTTGGGAAATTATCATATATGTACATGACTTGCATATAAATTTGATGAGTAACTCTTGAAGTTGGATTTCAAGCTGATATAGCTGTTAAAGGACCAGAGTTTGACTTTTTTCGGGAGGTGACATCTGTCGCAGTCATCATGAAGCAAGAAAATCTGCTGCTGCTGCTAAGATGTTAACAAACTTAAGAAGTGCTGCTCAGTGATTTTGGCTTTTCTGTTGGAAGAATACAAGTAATTACATGTTTGGACACAAACCTGTGGCCTTTTATATAATATGTTTAAAGTTTGCTAAGTGGTGAGTGTAAAACTAACTTTCAACCATAAAAACAAAATTAGATTTGAAGTTAAAAGATTTTCTAAAAAATCCTTTTATTAAATTTTTTTATTGTTAATTTTCACTTTTAATTCTTAGATAAATTTTACTAGTTTTAGTCTATGAATTTTTCCTCTCATTAACATTTTCAATCCCTAACATCAATTTTTTTAGCTTACAGAGAACTTTTAAGAACTTGCAAATCAAATTTGGTCAAGAAATAAATTAAAATTAAGAAAAGTTCAAGAACTAAAAACACATTTAATTAAAAAAATATAGCATTACTTTCATTACAATTATAATCTTTTTTTAGGTTCGTTCCTAGAGTATCCACCGCCAACAGCAGTGACTAATCTCCTCGCTACGTTGGAGGCACCTCAAAGGGTGGGATAGCTGGCCCCAAGATTTAACGCGGCTGCATACACAAGGCAGGATTCGAACCCCTGACCTTGCTTAAGCGTAGATCAACCCCTACCGTTGAACCACACGCTTGAGGTTGCTTTCATTACAATTATAATCTAAAATACATTTCTAAATTTAGTTTTCATAATATTTACTTAATATGAAAAGTATATTTTAGAAATTAATTTCTCAAAATATATGCTTTTATGGAATTTTTTTTTTTACAAAAGCTCAAAAGGAAATGTGAAAAGAAAAAAGAAGTACAAATAGAATCCTTCTCTAGACCGGAATATTTTAAATAAAATTCGTGTGGTTGACATTTCCGCAACAAAACTGCTAGCGGACTTTTTTTTATTAACATCTTTGATTATACAAATAAACTTTATAGCCATAACAAATACAAATCTTCCTACCTACTAAAAAAAATCAATTGTGTTTTGTTATACTATTATTCTAAAATATTAAATACATTCATTTTATATAGAGAACTGAGAATATATATATATATATATATATATATATATATATATATACACACACACATACATAGATATATACTATATAAAACACATATAAGTATAAA